GGTGGTGGTGAAAATGGTGGTGATTTGGAAGGGACAGTATTCCCCCTGGCCCCCTGGCAGCCTAAATGCAGCTCCCAGCACCTCTCTCCTTTTTTCACTCGGACTGAGCTGTCACAGTCCAAGGGAAAATTGAGGGGGCAAGTTTAAAAATCCAGGAGGAGACAAGTGCCGCCCCTTGACCCCTCCTGCGGATGCCCATGTTTGTGTTGCTTATTTTATAGTATGTTTTTAATGTTATCTAACAGTATAACACAAGAAATGAATCACAATTAAAAATATAAAATCATAAAGTGTAAAAAAATTTTTTTAAAAAGACCACAATCATTTTAAAGTGATATTAACCTCGTAAATTGTACAAGTTGTGATCAAAACAAAATGTAAACAAAATCTTAGGAGAGAAAGTAGGGACACTGGGACAAAATGAAATTTTTTTAAAAATATATTCAAAACTGAAAAAAAATAAGTGAAAACTAAAAAAGTTAAAAGAAAATTATTGTCCTTGAAAAAAATAATGAAAATAAAAAAAGAAAGGAAAAAAGAGCTGAAAACCATGATGTTTAACTGGAACTGGACTCTCGGGATACAGGACAACACTACAACATCGCTTTCTTGCTCCTCACTTTCTTCGGTGGTTATCTGTCAGCTTATCTCTCGTAGTTTAATAGCTTTTCAAATAGAAATCAAATCAAAAAGGTCATATCCAGTTGCAGAAGGCCCCTTTATCAGACTGACAATGCAGAATCTACACTGCACAAGATAGCTGGGGTGTCTTAATCTATTAGTTTTTGCAGGCACTGGGTAGAATGCATTTCTTGCTAATTCATACCTTCAAATCTATGGTGATATAACAGCTTTTATTTTATACGGACCAATTATTTAATAAATACCTTGTAAAGGAAAAAGAATACAAAAATCCACTTGCCCTGTCCCACTAAAATATACTCCTATTTCCTCCCATAACTCATATTATATTTGTGCCTTGAAGTGGCAGTTGTCCCAAAGCAAAAAAAAAAAAGTATAAAATCATCTTTAAATGGAATTAGACATTGATTAAATAATAATTCCAGTTGGTCAATACAATATAAGAAACACAGTAATGAATCAAACATCCCATCTAGGCCCCTACACTCTGCCGAAGACCTGCATCTATCCTCTGTTCATACTCCCACCTCTGATGCTTGCATTCAACACTTCTCTAGGGCTGCACCGTTCCTGTGGAACTCACTTCCCTTTTCCTCACCCAGTCTCCACTCATTCAAAAAATCATTAAAAACTAATTTTTTCACAAAAGCATATCAATCAAACTGTTAATGGCTCCCAAAAAGACCCACACTAAGTCTTCATTGAATACTATTCTACCAATCTACTTCCCTAATACTTCCCTTACCCTATGTGTCACTTTACCCCACGCCCTCTAGCATGTAAGCCTCAACCACTGTGTTTCAGCCCACCTGCCGTCACACAATTTTGATGTATGAGTACTAGCCATATAAATGGCGAGAAAATAAGGTTCAGCCAAACCATTTTGTGAAAAAATAAAATAAAATTGGGACAGATGGACAAATTTATATTTTGCTTTGGTTCAGCAGAATTTCAGTACCAAAACACTGATTTTGGAAAAGGGTCAAAAAAGGGTTAATTAGTGTACTGCAGAACATATATGAAATATGAATATAATATATATATACCATATATACTCGAGTATAAGTCTAGTTTTTCAGCACATTTTTTGTGGTGAAAAATCCCCACTCGACTTATACTCAAGTTAATGTCTGTATTATGGCAACTTACATTGCCATAATACAGACCAGGACCGCCGGGCTCATTACAAGCCCGGCCGGACCCACACTAAGTCTTCATTGAATACTATTCTACCAATCTACTTCCCTAATACTTCCCTTACCCTATGTGTCACTTTACCCCACGCCCTCTAGCATGTAAGCCTCAACCACTGTGTTTCAGCCCACCTGCCGTCACACAATTTTGATGTATGAGTACTAGCCATATAAATGGCGAGAAAATAAGGTTCAGCCAAACCATTTTGTGAAAAAAATAAATAAAATTGGGACAGATGGACAAATTTATATTTTGCTTTGGTTCAGCAGAATTTCAGTACCAAAACACTGATTTTGGAAAAGGGTCAAAAAAGGGTTAATTAGTGTACTGCAGAGCATATATGAAATATGAATATAATATATATATACCATATATACTCGAGTATAAGTCTAGTTTTTCAGCACATTTTTTGTGGTGAAAAATCCCCACTCGACTTATACTCAAGTTAATGTCTGTATTATGGCAACTTACATTGCCATAATACAGACCAGGACCGCCGGGCTCATTAGCCCGGCGGTCCTGTTTGGGGCTGGCGGTGAGCTGTAACTTGACAGCTCCACTGTAAATCTCGCGAGAGCCGCGGGGAATGCTCCGCGCGGCTGCGAGACTTACAGTGGAGGAGAAGGGAGCTGACTGGACCACAGGAGAGAGAAGGGAGCTGACAGGAGCTGCAGGAAAGGTAAGTTACAGCTCGCTGCCAGCCCCCCTCCTACACAGTGCACACCACTGGACCACCAGGGAATGAGAGCCCCCCTCCCTGGCCAGCTAACAAGCAGTGAGGGGGGACGAAAAAAAATATAAATACAAAATTTAATATTAAAATTTTAAAAAATTAATAATAATTAAAAAAAAAGAATAAAAATGTCCACCCCCCCACCAAGGCTCTGCATCACATACACACACACTGCATTCATACACACACACACTGCACTCCTACACACACACACACACTGAACTCATACACACATACACACACACACACTGTATTCATACACACTGCATTCACACACACACACTGCATTCATACACACACACACACACTGCATTCATACACACTGCATTCACACACACACACTGCATTCATACACACACACACACACTGCATTCATACACTCACACACTGCACTCATACACACTCACACACTGCATTCATCCAAACACACTGCATTATATACACACACACTGCATTCATTATATACACACACTGTAAATAAATATTCAATATTTTTTTTTAGGATCTAATTTTATTTCGAAATTTACCAGTAGCTGCTGCATTTCCCACTCTAGTCTTATACTCGAGTCAATAAGTTTTCCCAGTTTTTTGGGGTAAAATTAGGGGTCTCGACTTATATTCAGGTCGACTTATACTTGAGTATATACGGTATATATATATATATATATATATATATATATATATATATATATTGTAGTACACTGATTTCATTCAATTTGGGTCACAGATCAATTGAGGGAAAAGTAGCAACTATATTTATATATTATATTTTTGTTAAATATATAATGTATAAATGCAGAAATATAGCTTTTTGTTTTACTGTTCCTCCTTTTCCTCTCTTGGTCACTTCTCACTTGATGTGTGAATAAAATCAACCTTTAATGACTATCCCCTATACATCGATCATCTTTTTTTCTTATCAATGATTGCTTTTTTTAGCACCACAGGCAATTCAGAATCACAAATCAAAACTAACATGCTCGGCTATTGCGTGATTCTGCCATATTTCGGTTTGGAGTTCACCCGATCAGCCCAAATTCAGACAAATTGAAATTCCGACCAAAATAAATGTCCTAGTCTAATGAATACTACAAGAATGATTTCCATGGCAACTGTAACCACAAGAAATTGCTACAAAGTTATTCACCTATTCATTCATCCTTTACTGCACACAGTATTACAGAATGTCCCATAGGGTATTAAAAACCCATCACTGTCACAAAATAATAAATATATAATGCAGTGATACTTGATAAAATAAGAGCCATATCCTGTATCTAATTGTATTACAAAAGATTGCACAGGTGACTTTCATTCTTAAGGCGGCTTAAGACACGTATAGTTTAAAGTGAACTTGCCATGACAGGTTCACCTTAGCACGTAACAGCTCCTAAGGTAGTAAATGTATAATTTATTATACTTGTACTATATATATTTATTTGCTTTAGGAGCTGTTAGTACTTACCTTCTTTCCATTCCTGCTCTTGGAATGTGAGTGTTACACTGTTGTAACACCAATTCATGGACCCTTCTTGTTCCTGCCCTTCTCATATTTGGCCTTGCTTAGGGACACTTGTCCAAACAGGGAAATCTTCCTTAATGAGTCTGATATGTTTATTTCACTGCCAGCACAGTGTCAGAATATCCTATACATCCCCTGAACTGCTTTCTGTGGGAATTCATTGTGATAGAGGGCAAGAGAACAGTCTTTAGGATGGTTCTCATACTTTTTTGTTGATCTGTTTTTTATTGAGTTAGATTGTGCAGTACAACATAAAAGCATGTATAAAAGCTTAAGTACAGATAAGTGATTTAAGATGTTGCGATACATCATGTAATATATACCTAATTTTTATAAAAAAGAACAAATGAGAAGTAATAATACCAGCCTAACAATGACTAAATTAGGCATAGTTAAGGAAGAGGGTACACAAAACGCTAGGTCTGATGGATAGCACCAGTATGCAACAAATAAAAGGGATAAATATACTCAGCGGTGTCTGGCCGGTATGCTTAAGCACCCTATTACCCTTGGGTGGGGGGGAGGGAGTTGTATTAAAGGTACACCTATTCATCGCGGGTTGCTGATGTGGGAGATATTATCGCATCATAACTGAGTATAACAAAGATAGTTAAGCTAAGATAAGAACGTATAAATAATAAAGCAAAAGCATATTTAACTAGAGTCCATGTAAGATATGGAGAACAGTGGGAACTGGTCAACATCCAGCGTTAACACAGGGCTTTCTGGATACTCTTTATCCTGTGCCTTGTGCTTTCCTAGGCGTGAATGGCACTATGTTATCAATGTCTCATTGTGGAGATGAGGTGGAGACGGCCTCTGAGGCTAGTTGGTCGAGCAGGCTGATAGCCTGGAAGAAGCCGGATGCTCCCGTTATATTTTCCAATCTGCGTGCATGTAGGCATTGAGTCATGGGACGGAGGGATGCTCTCCATGTGAGAGCGCACTGTTGAGATCCTCGTAAAAAGACAGTTTAGAGCCTTCAAAGTCCAGCGGTTGTCTTTCTCGAATGGCAGATAGCGCTGCCCGTTTGTTGGCAATTAATCGGAATGCCACAATCACGTCTTCCAGAGGAGCTGTCATGTAACCGCGGAGATGGCACACTCGGAACAACCCTTCATTTAGCACAGATTTCACCTGCTTAGATAGCAGTAGAGAGGAGAATAAGGGTCGGGTGTACTGAGGCAATTCTTCAGTGCCAATGTCGCTGCTCACCTCTGATCTTCAGGTTTTGCCAACGCAAGGTATCTTTCAGGCTGCCACACGGTGTTACATGTTACTGTGTAAGTTGCTGGGTGAGTATGGCAGTGTTAAGTTGGCTCTGATGGGCCATCACCGATTCATCCTCCATAGACTTCATGTGACCGGAGAGGGTATGCATGTCCTCCTGTATCAGTGCGCAGTCTGTTTGGAACATTGTGCGCAGTTCATGCAGGAGGTGTTTAAGATCGCCTTTGGCGGTCGGGGCACTAACGTCATCCACCTTTGTGGGTCTTTTATCCATCTTCGTAGTTAATGCCCTGGCCTCTGGAATTGGGTCTGAAGCATCATACTCCAGTTTTCCAGAGGAGCAGGAAGACGACCTTTGCAATGGGGCCGTCATCTTAGATTGCGGCGTAGTGCGGAGTAGATCCTCGATGTTACAAACTGCCGTTTGTAACTGGGATTTTATGTGACAAATTGCCCTGTGTCCTTGGCTTATGGAGAAGCCTAATTGCCAGCCTCCTTCCTCATGATTATGGCCTTGCTGGGTATGGCCCTTTAAGAACAGCATTGGGGCTTATGGATTTTTATTGGACCGTGCTGGCCCTTTAAGAACCGTCTGGGGACATATTGTGACTTTTGGAACAAAGCCCCTTTAAGACTATGTCCCCAGACCTTTAAAATAATTTTCTTATGGCTTTCTCCCACTTCGTTTAGTAAATGGGGCTTACTGAACCAAGTATCACACAGGCGGACCACCCAGAAGTGGAAGTGTGCAGGCAATTTACCTCCCAGGCTGGGAGCCTGCTGTAGGTAAATTGCCAACCGCTGGGTGGCTGCAGTTCATGCAAACCAACACGTGGCGGTGGCCATCTTTGTTCATTCAAAAAAGATCAGTGATATGTGTAGCCAAATTCATGGAACTGAAATCGGCTACACATTTCAACGAACACCGCTGACCCTTACCTTCTCCTACACTCAGTTTTCAGCTACAGAGACTAAGTCCCGTTCGGCAGTTTGAACTCACTGTTATATTAAGCTAAATGCACAAACGGCTCGGTTCGTGCATTCGAATGGGACTTAGTCATTTTTCTGTGTAAAATAGACCGACCGCACAGCCCAAGTCATAAAGGACTTCCACCTAACTTTTTAACCCCTGGATGGAATGGGCTGAATTTTGGATATGTTTGTAATTAAAGTATGCTGAGTTCGAATATGTAGAATTGAATTGAATGTATATTTTTAAAGTTACAGTGCATGTGTAAAAAGCATATTTTTTCTGCCTGTGATAATTACATTAACCCATTGTGTGCAGTAATTATATCACAGGCAGAGGGGAGGATTTTGTGTGTAATTGATGGGAGTGTTTGTACTGTATACTATGTGTTTATTGGTTGTTCTGTAAAACCCTGTGGGCGGTCCTGTATGTGTTAAACCTGCATAAAAGAAGGCCCTTTGGTGCCAAGTAATACAGTTCTTCTTCACCCTCAATCTAGAGTTCTGTCTCGTATTGGGGGAATTGCTATATCACTACAAGGGGTTGCTATGCTCTGCATGCTCCCTTGGATAATCACTTCTAAGCTCTTTTAAGAGCTTGTTCCTGTCTTGCTCTCTGAAGGAGTCTACGTGGTTATGGTGTCGGCTGGAGTGCTTGGAGCCCTCAGGAAGCGCTAGGAGCATCCTTCAACGGAGGTACCCAGTCGGGGTGCCAGGTGATCCGTTACACTCGATATCTTGGGATCCCTCACTCCTATCTGGCCAGGACTTTTAGGCTTCCCCATGCTGACTGGAGGCAGTAGGTGTCGACCAGGCTCCAGTTTGGGCTCTGTAGATGGCTCAAAGTGGGCTTAAATCAACGTATCTCCCAGAGCGCACAGGGAGTGCGACTTATCATGATGGCTGCTCGCTCCGCCCCGTTTGTGATTTTTTTTCAAATCTCCATGAACCAGTATCCTTAGTGGGAAAGGGTTCAGTCAAGGCAAGTGTAATAGGTGCGTGGTCAGACCAGGAGAGAAGGCCATAGTAGCTGTTTGAATTCTAGGAACAGTGGTTGCATGAATAAGGAATTGATCTATACAGGAGTATGAGTTGTAAATATGGGAGTGAAATATATAGTCTCACTCTGTATCATGTGTATCTCACTCTGTATTCAAGGATTTATACAGCCTTGAATGGTGAGTATTTGTTTCTCTGGATGTCAATATCTGCTGTGCCATGGTTTGTTCAGGCGAGAAAATTGGTGTCTCCCCCTATGACTGCGGTCCCATAGGAAGAAGTAGTCAGGATTTGGAAAATGTTGTTGAGGAATTGAATTTATGGCCTTACTTAAAGTAAGTTTCTTGAAAAACAATATGTGCCTTTGCTTTTTGTGCCTCCTGTAAAGCTTAACATCACTTGTAGGGGGACATAAGGGCCTTAATGTTAAGAGATAACAATTGGTGAGCCATTAGTGTTTTGTTTGGAGATTCTGTGAGATCCCATCATTGTCTCCCAGCACTAGTGAGTGATGGGCTTGCATTTGCAGGCAGTGTATCCTATTGTCATCAGCCAAGTGTGGGGAGTGGGGGGGTTCTGGAGGTGGGTCTCTGAAGTACCATAATGCAAAGTGTGTGACTATCTGGAGGCAGATTCCTCACACTATAAAGAAAAATAGAAGTGGTGAGCCAGTCATAGAAAATTACAAAAAGAAAAGAAAATGTATGTACAAACACTGTTTGGGGTGAAGTGCTGTCTGACAGGTAGTGCTCCCTGTGATCATACTCAAAAGGAATGGGCATAGGATCATTTACAGCCACAGTTTAGGTGCCTTTCTTATAAGACATACAGTACAAATCTGTCTGAACGTTGTGGGTAAGTCTGCTTTCTGAGGTTGACATCCCATTGTAGAAGGCAATGGAAGGTTCCACTGTGTCAGGAGTAGTTGGCCATATTCAGGTATATGGTTTTCTCCACTTTGCTTTCCTTGACTAGTAGTTTAGCTGGGAATACCAACTTTATTTTTAAGGGGATAATCATTCCACTCTTTTCAGTGAGGGAATATAACATAATAATTTTCTAAAGACATTTTCAGATCAGCAACAATGATTGTAGAGAGGTTTGTTTTCTCCACAAAGTAGTATTTATTGTTATTTTTTTTTTGTGTGACTCAGAATGTGACTGCAGAAAGTGTGACTGCATTTTCATTTCTACACTTTTCAAATATTTGTCATGCAAATCCTATTCTTTTTACTAAAGGGACTAATTCAGGTTTATTAAATCTGATGTCAACACCATAAATTTAAGGTTTAGTAAGGGTCTTAGCTTGGAGTAGACTTGTTAGGTTTGAGGATTTTAGGATTGAGGGATGTTTAGTGTTATAGTCAGGGCCGGATTAACATAGGGGCTGATGGAGCTGCAGCTCCAGGCCCAGGCTCATGGAATAGGCCCATTTAAAAAAAAATTATAATAATAATGATTATTTTTTTCATTTTTTTTTCTACCCACTACTCTTAGGTTTGCCACCTGACTGGTATTTTACTGGCACAGCCGGTATTTGAGGCTGCCTGGCCGTGCCTGTATTGCAGTAATACCGGCAATACAAATGCAGGTATTTTTCTCAGTATAAACGGAGATTACTCTGCAATACCAGCATCGGCCAGTAGGGGTCACTGTGTGTGGAGAGAGGCAAGGATAGGAAGTTACAGCATATCCCTGACTCTCTCTACTGCTCACTGATCCATGGGGGATCAGCTATACAGCACAGTGAGACCAGAAAGCAGCTCTACAGCTCAGGTACGTGAGGTATGGGGGAAAGGCAGCAGGAAGACATGTGGACACTGAGACACTAGGGAACACTTAGGGACACTGAGACACTAAGGGACACTGTAAGACATGGGGACTCTCAGACACATGGGGACGCTGTGAGACATGGGCACATTGGGAGACACTAGGGACACATTGTCCCCATGTTCCCGAGCCAGTGTCCTTAGTGGTTCAGTGTTCCCATGGCTCCCAGTTTCCCCTAGTCTCCCAGTATCTGTGTCCCCATGTCTCCCAGTGTCCCCAAGTCTCCCAGTGTCCGTGTCCCTATGTCTTCCAGTGTCCCCAAATGTCTGTGTCCTCATGTCTCCCACTGTCCCCATGTCTATGTCCACAAGTGTCCCTATGTCTCCCAGTGTCCCCAAGTGTTTGTATCCCAGCCAGTGTCCCTAGTGTCTCAGTGTCTCCTAGTCTCCCAGTATCCCCTAGTCTCCCACTGTCTGTGTTCCCATGTCTCTCAGTGTCCCTAGTGTCTTAGTTTCCCCAAATGTTTCAGTGTCCCCATGTCTCCCAGTGTCTGTGTACCCATGTCTGTGTCCCTAGTGTCTCATGTCCCCATTTCTCCCAGTATCCCCAAATGTCTCAGTGCTCCCATGTCTCCCAGTGTCTTCATGTTTCCCTAGTATTCACAAGTGCCCCCATGTCTCCCAGTGTCACTGGGTCTCTCAGTGTCCCCATGTCTCACTATGTCCCCTAGTATCCTAGTGACATGGGTACACACTGAGACATGGGGACACTGGGAGAATTAGGGATACTGAGACACTGGGAGACTAGGGGACTGGGCGACATGGGGACACTGACACTGTGATACATAGGGACACTGAGTGACTTGTGAGACTGGGAGAAGAGGCAGGGAGACACTGGGAGCAATTCATCTATACAGCAGAATCAAACTGTGAGTAGTTTGTTGGTGATTTTACAGAATTTTCTCTTATGTCACTCCTTGTGATTTATATCATGTGATGTCACACATAACTAATTATACAAATGATTAAGGCTAGTATTTGTTTTCCAAGAAAGGTGGCAACCCTAACTACTCTTCACATACTCTTGCTTAAAAGAACACTATAGGGTCAGGAACACAATCATGTATTTCTGACCCTATTATGTAAAAACTACCATCTACCCCCCTGGCCACCTCTTGCCTCCCTAAATATAGTAATATCTTACTTGCATTCTGTAGTCTGCAGCTGCTGGCTCTGCCTCTGAACTGACTCATCAGAAGTGGTAGCCTGATCCAATCACAATGCTTCGCCATAGGATTGGCTGAGACTGTGAACTAGGCAGATCAGGGGCCGAGCCAGCACAAGTCAAACAAAAATAGCCCTAGCCAATCAGCATCTCCTCATAAAGATACATTGAATCAATGCATCTCTGGGAGGAAAGTTCAGTGTCTGCATGCAGAGGGTGGAGACACTGAATGGCAGTGCTGCAGACTAGGCATTACTGCCCCAGGAAGCACCTCTAGTAGCCATCTGAAGAGTGGCCAGCGGAGTTATTTTCTCTGAAAAGAGTGTTTACTGCAAAAAGCCTGAAGGGAATGATTCTACTTACCAGAACAAATACAATAAGGTGTAGTTGTTCTGGTGACTATAGTGTCCC